TGTGTGTGTGTGTGTGTGTGTGTGTGTGTGTGTGGGTGTGTGTGTTTGTGTGCGTGTGTGTGTGCGTCTGTCCGGGTATTTCAATTCGGCACTCACGCAAGCTCCGGTGCCGAAATTTTGCGAGTGGGTCCCCCGCCCAAGTGCCACCCCAGGACCGCGGTACCAGTCCTCATGCACGTGTAGGCCCCGCGTACGAGCACCTCAAAGTTTTGTCGGGAAAATCGCTAACTTGGGGACCAGAAAAGCTAAATAGCTGAAATTTTGTGATTATGTTCCCCGTCCATATAGAATTCAAAGATTTTAAATTCAGCTCCCAGGAATGCGTGTTCCCCGCCTACGTCCCCGTGAGGGTCCTGGCACGAAAATCGCTAGCTCGGGAACCAAGAAAACTGAGAGGCTGAAACTTTCAGGAAATGTTCCCAACTCATCTACAACCTAAATTTATTAAATTCAGCCCACCATTATGCGTGGTTGCCAAGTGCGGCCCCGTGAAAGTCTTTGGCGGAAAAATGGCTAACTCCGGAACCAGGGAAGCTGGGAGGCTGAAACTTTCAAAAAATGTTCCTAGCTCATCTACTACTTAAATTTGTCAAATCCAGCCCCCCATATGCGTGGTTGTCACGTACGGCCTCGTGAAATTTTCTGGCTGGAATTTGGGTAATTCAGGAACGGAGAAGGCTGGGAACAAGGGATGTCAAGGGAATGGTCCCTGTCCGAGTATAGTGTGGGCATTAACTTCCCAAAATTTGAGGATTAGTATGTCAGAGGTTTCTAGCTAGCGGAATTTCGAGTGACAATACGAAACACTGCAAAACGCATGATCGCATGGGCCCGCCCAGAGCACGTCGCCAATGATATATGCATAGGGAATAACCTTTCAAAGTTTCAGCTCCTTAGCTCATATGTTTCCCGAGATCGCTTTCCCGCCAAAAAATTTGCATATTACTTTAAAGCGTCAGTAAGCGGCACCCAGGTGTTCGCTGAAGATGAAATTGAAACGGGAAGGTTGCGTATGGTACAGGCACATATCCCCAAAGTTTCAGCTTTCTAGCTTTTCTGGTTCTCGAGTTGAAAGTGGGTGACAAAAAGTGCGAACACACAGACACTCACACACACAGACAGCCTCTTTCCAATGTGCGTTTTTGCAATTTACATATAGGCAAAAACGCATAAAAACGCATATTGTGGCGACCCCCCGTGCGCGCGTCTGTCTGGATATTTCAGTTCGGCACCCAAGCAAGCTCCAGAGCTAAAATTTTGCCGGTGGGTTCCCCGGCCAATTGCTATCCCAGGACTGCAGTACCAACCCTCACCAAGTCTGGGGTCCGCGTAAGAGGGGGCTGGAAGTTTTGGCAGGAAAATTGCTAACTCAGGAACCAGAAAAGCTAGGAAGCTAAAATTTTGAGGTTATGTTCCCTGTCTAAATAGAACTCAAAGATTTTAAATTCAGTCCCCAGGTAAGTGTGGTTCCCGCGTAAGGCCTCATGAGGGTTTCTGGCGCGAAAATCGCTAACTCCGGGGCCAGGAAAGCTAGGGAGCTGAAATTTCCAGGGATTGCTCCCAGCACATGCAACTTGAAATTACTAAACGCAGCCCCTATGTATGTGTGGCACTCACGTACGGCCCCGTGAAAGTTTTTGACGGGAAATGGCTAACTCAAGGACCAGGAAAGCTGGGGAGCTGAAATTTTCAAAGAATATTTTCTAGCACAAATTCAACTTGCAAGTATCAAATTCAGCCCTTTAGTGAAAATGGTAATCACGTACGGCCCCGTAAAAATTTCTGGCGAGAAAATGGCTAACGCGGGAACCAGGAAAGATGGGGAGCTGAATTTTTCATTGAATGTTCATAGCAAATGCGCAGCTTAAATTTATCAAATTTAGCTCCCGGGCATGCGTGGTTCTCACTCACGGCCCCGTGAAAGTTTTTGGCGCGAAAGTGTTTAACTCGGAAACCAGAAAAGCTGGGGCTGAAATTTTCAGGGAATGTTCCCAGCCCATTTACGATTTAAATTTATCAAACTCATACCGGGCTTGAGTGACTGTCACGTACGGCCCCTTGAAAACTTTCGGCAAGAAAATTGCTGACTCAAGAGCCAGAAAATTTGGAAAGCTAAAATTTCAGCGAAATTTCCCTGTCCAAACACCGCATAGACAATTAACTTCCCGGACTTCGAGGGCCAGTATATCACACATTTCTAGCTACAGTGTTTCCGAGCGATCTCACTACAGCAAGAAATATTGCAAAAACGACGATCGCACGGGCCCGCCCGGTGCACGTCCCCAATGTTTAGAAACGGAACACCAGTTCCATGCTTTTGCACCGGGCTCAATAAATGCATCCTGACGCAGTCAGAAAATAATTTAGGTTTCGTTATGGCTTTAAATGCTGCTGTTACCGTTATAACAAGGAATTATCCAGGACCAGTGGATGGGGAACTTCTTTTCGTTACTGTTGCTGCTTTTGGAAGAAAGTTTACTGTTGAAGCTACTGCTGAAGGTGTCGTTCATTTCGATGGAGTTGCCACTGTTGAACAGTCCTATATGTGAACATTATCGATAGAGCTGCCATTGCTGTTAAATGCTTGTCCGAAATGGAAACGAATGAACTTCTTTTCATCGCATTTATCCCCGCTGCTTCTTTTAACTGTAATGCGGTTGCCTCTACCATCATGTAGTAACCACGTCAGTGAGCGAGCGATCCACTCTTTTTTACGGTTTTTGCTATCCACGACATTGTTTTCGAGGATATTGCCTTTGTTCGATGGTGTTGATAATGGTCTTAATGTAGTACTTCCTGGGGTTACTGCCGTCAACACAACACAGTAAACAAGAAATGTACAAAAAATTACAGATGCTTTTATACTATCGATAAATTTCTGCGACGCATATCTTGAAAATAATTAAACTTTTGTGCAGAACAAAATTACCAAATTTTTGTGCAGAACTTTCCAGACTCCAACTGCCATTTATTTTAGTATGCGGAAAAATGTGCATAGGCGAGATCCTATATCATGCATGTTATGTTCTGTACACATGTCTGTTTGCTTATGTGTGTGTGTGTTTGTTGTACGTGTATGTGAATATATGTATTTATATTTTTGTGATGTATGTATGTTGGAGAACTCAGGTGAAACAGAATCTCAAAATTTTAAAGAATTTCCAGTTTTTCTTATCTTACATGCGGTATTAGGTTCGAATGGTGGCTCTTGTTTTTACTTTACAACCAAAAA